CAGATAAGTATTATACACGTGATGATAGTATTTTTTGCTATATTTATTATTAAAAGTTAGTATACATAAATAAGTAAAGGATGTTTGCAATAGAAAAGTTGTGGAAGACATCATGTTATTTTTCAATTTTAGTCGTTATAGTTTGCCATTATTTTCTTTCTTCGGTAACATTCATCCATGAAACAGTGCACTTAATTTTTGTGTGTGCAATAAATATACATTTTTTTCTATGGATAGAGCTGTAGTAGCTCTTCATTCGACCCTCCCAATTTTTTTCAGACCATCGAGCTACAGATCACTGTGTTTCCTACATTGAGATCAAACTTCCGCTATATAGGTGCCGTTTGTATCAAACCTATCGATGCAGAGGACTATGATATCCCGACTATGGGTAGTTTGACAATGAGATCATACAGTCATACACTTTTTAATATCCTACATGATATAAAGTAATCCGAGACAGCAATCGTTTGTCATTTAATTATTTTTAAAAAATGTCAAGGTGACCTTAAGTTTGTATCTTTAAGAATATACAATAATTATATATGTTTGTGCAAAGAAATATTTTCAATCATATGAGATATTTAAATAGTGACCAATGTATGTATGAACATTTGTATCACTGGTTATCGCTAAAATGAGCCTAAAGTTGAATTCTGAGAAATCGAAGCGGAAGCCAGAGAGGACATATATTTTTACACACTCCGTCTATCAGTCTGCCGTAAGTAATAGCTTAAAGGTCTTGCTTTATGATGATAAATGTTCTTTTATATATAATATTTATAACTAATAATATAAAACGTACGGTACATAACTTGCTGATATATCCACTTTTAAAAGGATTTGTCTTGGTACAGAGAGGAATCATGATCCCCAATGGGCTTTTAAAGTGATCAAAGTTAAAATTCCATTGCATTAAAATTGGATACACCAAATTAAAATCTCCATGTGCAGAATAGGATTTTGTAATAAGTTGGTTAACATAGTAAGGAATGGACTCATACTTCATTCAAGTTTATATGGTGAACTGATATATAGTCAGCCTGTTTATCTCAAAAGTATGGAACGCCGTCACTGCCTTATAGCAGAACACTACTATTGCACTGTGTCAACCTTCCATTACATTTTATTATACTTTCATGTTAAATACTAAAATCTGATTGGTTTACACGCAGTTAACAATCCGTTCGATTACCCTGAGCCTTAGCAACACACGTGACAACGGGTAACACAACGGTAATGCCACATGCGTGGAAATTGTGCGCGTACGGTTCACCGTAGAATTCTCAAAACTTCAGTTGCGCGTTTGAAAGAACCGGAATTAACTTGACGTCAATAAAAGCTTGCGTCCGATATAGCTTACTTGAAAACAACAAACGACAGACGATACATGCTTGCGAGTGTAGGAAACATGCTTGCGAGCCAGAAATAACGAAACTTTATATGATAAATGACTCTAATTCGAGTATCAAACAAACAATAAGGAGATTAGTGAACCGGTGAGTGTGAAAGCTAGATATACATGAACGTAAAGACGATCGACGTTTTTTTTGCTGACGTCCTAAAGCAATAAGACATTCAGTATAATAAAATAAATGGTGCCTGTTTTGTAGGGTAACATTTGAAATTGACACCCCTCGGAAAACCATTGTCAACCTCCGCTGACGCGTCGGTTGACAATGGTTTTCCTTGGGGTGTCAATTTCAAATGTTACCCTACAAAACAGGCACCATTTATATAATGTCAACTCTTTATGACATTAACCCACCCTACTATTGCATTGTGTCAACCTTCCATTACATTATGTCAACTCTTTATGACATTAACCCACCCTACTATTGCATTGTGCCAACCTTCCATTACATTATGTCAACTCTTTATAACATTAACCCACACTACTTTTGCATCGTGTTAACTTTCCTTTACATTATATCAACTCTTTATGACATTTACACATACTACAATTTTATTTCGTCAACTTGCATTTCGTTATGTTTACTTTTCATGACAATCTTAGTCTTTATTAACTGATGTGAAAAGCTCATGCCATACTGTGCGCACTCTTCTACATTATGTCGATTCACTATTACGTTATGCGAACGCGGGTATCCTCGGCCTTTATATGAGCATAACGTATTTTCAGCGTTCTGCAAGCACTAAACTGGCGGGAGAGAAAACTGTCGTAGAAGAGATTCTCAGCGATTTCGGAATGACATCTTTAAATGAAAACTTTAAGCGACAAATGATTGACAATCTTGAAACATGCAAAGCCTTAACACTGCGACTGTGAATTAAAGTCACGTCGAAATTCAATGGTGTTTACTTTAATCTGATAATTAAATAAATCAGATATTATGAGTCTTGCAGCAATCATTTTTTTCTTTTTATTTTGAATTGTTTCTTTTTATAAAAGTCTTAAACTTTGTAGGACATTGCATTAGTTTCACATTAAGTTTAGCTGAATTAAGTTGAAAACTTTTTTCTATAAAACTATAAAGCCTGAGAGCTTCTCCGCTTTCCGCCCTTGGTCTCCAACCATATACCGTCCCCCTTCCTTGTTCAAGATTCCCATATCTGCCACTGATATGTGCCCATGCATGCTTACTAAGGCATATTCAATTGATTTAAATGAGCGACTGGTAGATTTTTGTAATAGAATTCTGGCCCTGGAATGATTAAAAAAAAGTACTAACTCCAGTGACGTAGCATCATTTTTTTGAAAGAGGAGGTCAGCCAGTAAAAAAAATCATTTATCCGAAAAAACTAGACAAGCCAAAGAAAAAAAAAATGTCCAAGCCCGAAAATCCTATTTCGGGGAGAGTGGTCCAACTTCAATCAATCCTATTTTTTTTCCAGATATATTATATTACCCTTAGTGGACTATATTTCAACAAGAAGTGGGGTGGGTGGGGGGGGGCTGTACAGTTTCAATGAACATTACATTTTCTATAGTAAAGTTATGTCTGGGAAAAGAGGGGGGTTGATATTATGTGCCTGTAATTTGTCCTAATCAATCACGACCCCCCCCTTCTTACTAGTCATTAAAACACGGTCGTCAACATTTATTATATACTAGATATACAGCTTTGAGATAATATAAATGTATTTCTGCATCAGGTAATGAACTTGGAATCCACATGATAAAGAGTTAACACAATATAAAGATATTTTTAAATCACATAAGAAAGAGTTGGCATAACGTTATAATATATCCACATCACGGTATGGAGTTTTGACATAATGTAATAAAGTGTTGATATAATATAAAGATATGTTCACATTATGTTATACATTTTTTACACCACGTATAATAAAGCACTGACATAAAGGTAAGGTGTGTTCACCTCACATCATGATGCCCTCGCCGTAAAATAAAGATAAATCCATATCACGTAATAATACTTTGATATAATAGAAATATACACTCTCAAAAAGGAATGGGCTTTTGACTTCGTGTGATGATAAGTTTAATTATAAAACACAATTTACTTGACGTAATGCAATTTTGACCTCACATATTAAAGAAATGAAATGATGTAAAGAAACATTCATTTCACGTAATAAAGTTTTAACACAATGTAAACACATTATCACTTAACATAATGAATTTTTTACTTCAAGTTATGAAGTGCTGACAGAATGAAAGGATGTATTTACTTCATGTAATGCAGCATTGACATGATGTCAAGATATATTTTCATCATCCCATAAAAAATGGACATAAAGTAAAGATGTGTTCACATCACGTAATGATAAATTGACGTAATAAATGCATAGTTGTATGCTATAAGGCAGTGATGGCGTTCCATACAAAAGCCTCACATCACTCATCAGCACGATGATAAAAATCTATTTCTTGGTAGGAGGGGGGGGGCTATATCACAGTGGCTTTCTTAAACAGGAAGAATGGAAATAACTACATGTATATCCCTATGCTCTGTCTTAATTTAAAATAATTCATTTTAAATTTTTAATAATTGAAAGATAACACTTCCAATGAAACTATATATTATATCAGAAATCAGATGGCATATACATGTATTAGGTTCCAGCTAGGCTATAAAATATTTTCAAGATTCTATAATAAATATATGAAAAAATTATTTAGCTTTTCAATAAAATTTTGCGATAAACATATTTGTGAGATTGTTTTCCATTGACCCTCCCTAGCTGCAATAAAGTAGCCCTCTCCCTTTTTTCCAGAAATCATCAGATTAAAGAAATCGGAGAGGGCTACATTACTGCAGCTAGACCCTCGATCCCTCTCCCTCCAACCCTCCCCACAGAAAATAAATCTAGTCCATGCCACCTGGTGCTCGCATATATACTTCATTGTGGTTTAGTTAGATAAACCTGATTAAGTATCTTTTGCTTAAAAGTATTTGATAACAAAACACATTTTTTTTTAAAAAAAATCGTGATTGAGAATCAGCTGATGACAGTGACTCACTGTACACGACAGATGCGCTAGAAAGTCAAGGACGCTTTTAAAAACGGAAGTGGTAATTTTTCGGATATCCTCTGAATTTTACCTCAGACTTCAGGTAGAGACATAAACATCAAGATGGCTACAACAAATACACAGAGTGCAACGGCACAAAATGCACAAAACAGAAGAGCACAGGTACAGTAAGCGTATAAAATAGCTCAAAATACACAGAATGTACAAGAATCTATTTATATCAAATATCGGAGAGTGTGATTGCGGAGACAATCCAGCGATATTGCAACTACGCATTAACATATTACGAACAGTATATTTCAATGGGTTTCCTCTAAATGTTCCTGTTTCTAAATGTTTAATTATTCTTTTTTTAAGGACCGGAAGCAATTATCTCCGATTAAAATAAAATGATGTTTCAATCATCATAACAAAACTTAAGATATGGGTTCTAAAACAGCGCACAGGAGTCGGCAGTTTTATCAATAAACTAGAAATAAAGTCAAAATCACTAAAAACCTAGCCATGAGCTTTGCTCACCTCTCTGAGTCTCTCTCTGAGCGAAGCTCATGGCTAGGTTTTTACTGATTTTAATTTATTTCTAGTTTATTGATAAAACTGCCGACTCCAGTGAACAGCATTATTATATGCATCTAGTCCGAAAAATCTGATGTTTTCCTGGCTTTTTTACGATTTTGATATTTTACATGCCTGGAAAACGTCAGAACTGGCACCATTACGAAAACTGGAAATTTCGCCATCTTCAACTGGAGTTGATTTTCGATACTTGTGAACCGAACTAAATGCCGAAATCAGAATTTATCAAAACCACAATGCCTCTAGTACTCACCAATATTGATGAAAAGAAAATATCACTCCACATTTCGTAACAGGACATGCAAGATTTCAAAATGCACGATTTGAAGACAAATCTCGACAGTTTGATAAAACCTTTATCAACGGAATTTATTTCATAAAAGAACCATAAAAACTATATTGGTAAGTTCTTTAAGTATTGTACTATTGATAACTTTTGACTTTGAAATTTAATTCATTTTGCAAGTATCTAACATCAACTCGAGAATCCGCCTTCGTTTGGAGGCGGAGATTCCCCAGTTAACGTAATGGCGCCGGTTCTGACGTTTTCCTGGCATGTAAAATATCAAAATCATAAAAAAGTCAGGAAAACGTCAGATTTTTCGGACTAATATGCATCATGACCACAGGGGACAGCATAGCCCCTATGATCATGACTTAAGGATTTCAATCCCTATAATGAGACCAAATTCTCTACCCTTAACTGTTCGTCAAGTACACAATACTCTGATATTATATTAAAAGCATTTTATAGTGGAAAAGGATTGCCCACGAGAAATTTTCAAAAACTTCATTAATTAAGCAGTAGTTAATTAACAAAGATTGCATTGAAGTCTATGGGGAAAAGCGTTTTTTCTAGTGTTGTCACGATGATCGATTTATAATCGATAATCGGTTGGAAAGGCTATCGATTTTAGACAATCGATTGGAGATTTTAACAATCGATTAATCGGTATATTTCAGCACATATCTTTCCATAGTTTTCTCAGTACTTTTATTTCAAGAAAAAGTTCTTGTTATCAAATTCCAAGTGTTGTCTTTTACCATTTTAAAATACTTAATAATAGTTAAAATAATCTGGTTTAAAATAAATTACAAGATAATGATATATGTATTTCTAAACTGAAGAAACTAAACTACTTGTATAAATTAGAATATATTAGTTTTCAGTATTTGGGGGAATTCACCTGTCATTCATACGGAATCACAAGGATTTGCGATATTATTTTTCTTAAAACAGTTTAAAAAATTAATTCCATATATGTTTTAGATGATCGTGTAAATTAAAACCTGGGATCAACTGGAGTATACGGACAAATAGTTCCCATGAGCATAGAATGAAGCGGTTATTCGGTTAAAACATGTAAACAAAAGAACTTTTATATTTATTTGTCTACCATTCACTGGTCGACAGTTGACAGGTCGACAGTTCCAAGAACTTAGCATATCTCTTTGTCAACCGTTGACAGGTCGACAGTTGACAGAAGATATGACATATTTATATTTGTCGACCATTTACAGGTCGACAGTTGACAGGTTGACAGCAGAACTTAACATATCTCTTTGTCGACCGTTGACAGGTCGACAGGTCGACAGTTGAAAGAAGATATGGCATATCTGTATTTGTCGACCATTTAGAGGTCAACAGTTGACAGGTTGACAGAAGATCTTAGCATATCTATTTGTCGACCGTTGACAGGTCGACAGTTGACGGAAGCCCTAGCTTATTTATTTGTCAACCATTTACAGGTCGACAGTTGACAGGTCGACCGTTGACACATCGACAGAAGAACCACCACATACATTTACATTTGTCGACCATTTATGACTAAACTCGAGAATCTAACTCATTACCTCTACATTACTAGTTGGGTGCTTTAACCACTTAGTCATCCTGGTCGATATCAACATTCCATATAAACCAAACTTCTACAGTAATGAATAGTAACGGATTTTTTCTTCATCGCCTGGCAGTAAATCTGATAACAATCTTTTATATTTATGAATTTAAAAGATAAATTAGGGTTAGCCTTGTTTCCACCCGAGAGATTCAGGTAAGCCTTGTACCCACCCGACAGATTAGGGTTAGCCTTGTACCCACCCGAGAGATTAGGGTTAGCCTTGTACCCACCTTGAGATTAGGGTTAGAGCCTTGTACCCAACCGAGATGTTAGGGTTAGCCTTGTGCCCACCCGAGAGATTGGGGTTAGCCTTGTACCCATCCGAGAGATTAAGGTTAGCCTTGTACCCACCCGAGAGATTAGGGTTAGTCTTGTACCCACCCGAGAGATTAGGGTTAGTCTTGTACCCATTCGAGAGATTAGGGTTAGCCTTGTACCGAACGAGAGGTTTCTGTCAACTGTCGACCTATCAACCGTCAACCCTGCATATACAGTTATACTAAAATAATTTTCTGTCAACTGTCGACCGTCAACCCTGCATATCCTAAAATAAATTTCTGTCAACTGTCGACTGTCAACCCTACATATACTTAAATTCATGTGATAAAATTTGATTTCTGTCAACTGTCGACCTGTCAACCGTCAACACTGCATGTAATGTTATACAAAAATAATTTTTCTGTCAACTGTCGACCGTCAATCCTACATATACTACTACAAATTTCTGTCAACTGTCAACCTGTCAACCATCAACCTTGCATATACAGTTATACTAAAATAATTTTCTGTCAACTGTCGACCTGTCGACCGTCAACCCTGCATATCCTAAAATAAATTTCTGTCAACTGTCGACCTGTCGACTGTCAACCCTACATATACTTTATATTTTATATTTTATATATTTTATTGGCTCATGACTAATGAAGACCCAGACATCCTTAGATCACTTGCTGGATTCCTTAGTAATTTACCTTAATTGAAGATATTGTGATAAGCATAAAAAAATTATATACCTCTTTCCCAGTTTCTTGCCTTTAACTATATATATATATGTATAAATTATATATATTTGTATGTAACTTACAATACGATACATGTATGTATATTCAGTATATCTCTTATATACTTTTGTTTTTTTTTTAACAATTGCTCTTTATTTGTAATATCATCATCATGCTTGTTCTATCATTTGGATCCTCCTCCTTCTATTTGTAAATCTTTTTGCTCCTCCGGGGGCCCAAATTGGATTAATAAAATCTTGTATCTTGTATACTTAAATTAATGTGTTAAAATTTGATTTCTGTCAACTGTCGACCTGTCAACCGTCAACACTGCATGTAATGTTATACTGAAATAATTTTCTGTCAACTGTCGACCGTCAATCCTACATATACTACAACAAATTTCTGTCAACTGTCAAACTGTCGACCGTCAACCTTGCCTATCCTAAAATAAATTTCTGTCAACTGTCGACCGTCAACCCTACATATACTATAACTAAATATGATAGAATTAGATTTCTGTCAACTGTCGACCTGTCAACCGTCAACCCTGCATATTCTTAATCAAATTTCTGTCAACTGTCAACCTGTCGACCGTCAACTTTACATATACATTAATTTATACTAAAATAAATTTCTGTCAATTTTCTACATAAAACACTCGACAGTTCACAATGTAAACACTTGAAATATTTTTAAAACTATGTTCATAACAAATAAATTTCATCACGAACTACTTTTCCGTATACTCCTGTTGAGCCAAAACCTGATCTGTCAATGCTTATTTTTCCCAGGCCAAGTAGTTCCTAATGATGCAAAAATCTGTATTACTGAAATTGTTAATCAATCTGCTTATATACTGTATTTAGACTTTTGATCTGTGCAATGCATATTTACTTACATTTAATATTTCAAAATCAAATTCCACATTTTGAATAAGATTTAATGCTTATTTTATACAAAAGGGTTACCAATTCGATTATAGGCCGATGATCAGTTGGTTAGAGTCAACCGATGCTACCGATTAATCGATTCTGATTTTCAACCGATTTGACAACACTAGTTTTTTCAAGATAAAAATTCAAATAATTTGAATATCAATAAATCCTGCGGTGGAAAGATGCATTGAAATATTAAAAATAGAATGATAATTGAAAACAATTTTTTTACCAGCTAAATTTTTTTAATTGATTTTTTTTTATTAATTAAAAAAGGGGAGATAACTCTTACCAAAATTCAAGGTCATGAATAAGGACACATCCCACTAAACATACTTACAGTAATAAATGGGAAGTATGTCTAAATAAACTGAGTATTCAATGCCTACATATCTGTTATGTTTTCAATTTCACTGAATTTGTTCCTATTAGGGATTGAAGACCTTAAATTATATATCAATATTTGCTCCAATAACTATTATAAATGCGGGGGCTCGTCATGACTTATTTGCCTGCTGCATGAATTCATATACTTTACAGTAAACGTGCTTTTAATAAAGAACCAGGAATGCTTGCTTCAATTATTAAAAACATAATTAGTTTTATATGTTACCTTCACATTATGTTTAAAACTCATAGGGTATGAAAAACACTTCACTATAGGCAACAATATTTATTCTAAGCATGTTTGCTATAAGCATGATTTACTGTATATGAATGTAATAGTATGTAACATCTGAGGGAGAAATGAGCACTGGACCAGACTTGGAATTAACCCCCCCCCCCAACCTCCCCTGAATTGCAAATCAGAGCTATCTGACCACTAGCAACCAAGTCCAGTTCTCAATGTTTACACTCAAAATATACATACATGTATATATGTAGATTTTTGATATAGATCAATGTTTTGACATTATCTTCAGCTTTTTTCATTGCTTTCAGGTGATGATAGGAGAGCTCCCTACTGACTTCCTGCGAGTGTCCTACAACAACACACAGCAACAAGTGATGGGGGACGAACGCATCGCTCAGATCCTCCAAGCTCAGCAGCAAGCAGGGTTCATGGCCCCCATCCCAGCTAACATACAGGGACGTCTTAGTCTAACGGTTGTACAGGTATAAAGTAACTCTACTGTATCATCCATAGGCTTAAAAAACACACGAGTTAAACATCAAAATTAACATTTGGTCAATTTTGTTTACATTCATTAAAATGAGAGATAAATTGAGAACAATTTCACAAATGTTCAGACATGTATTTTGAACTCTGATGTCTAAAATATGCTATGATTTTTTTAAAGATGAATATACTTATATCTATTATATTTGGTTGTCACATTTTGCCATTTGTTTCATAAAATAATAGTTTATTACTATGATTGACAGATAATGAATGTTTTCAGGCTAAACTAGCAAAGAATTATGGAATAACAAGGATGGATCCGTATGTCCGAATCAGGATTGGTCACTCTGTGATAGAGACTCCAACAGCTTACAATGGGTCAAAGAATCCACGCTGGAACAAAGACATCAATTTGTAGGCATTATAAATATGATGTGATACTGTATCAGTAAATTTATATATCATTTAGTTAATCAGTAGGAAAAGTTCCATTGGTTTACAGTACTTTATGTTTATGCA